AAAAAAAAAAAAAAAGCCACAACCACTCCAGAGTTTTTCTGTTGGCAATTCTTTGAGCTTTACCTTTCGCAGTCTTTCTCTAGCTGAAATGTTCTGGTGTGGAGGAGCCTGAAGCACGGAGCTGTGCATAGAGTACTGGGTTGTCAAGTCAAGACACCCATAACTTCAAGTAGGTTGAGTATGTGGTAGGATTTGAACATAAACCACCAGCTTCATTACTTGATGTACCTTATTTTAGTCCTTAAATGTTCAATGTTACTGTGTCTGAATATGTTGTTAGAAACTGAAAAAATCATCTTATGTTGCTAGTTTCTCAGGGGACTGTGGTTACATGGTGACTGATTTTTCTCTTGGCTTCTAGTTGCCGTGGATACAGCCCTTAAACATGTGGCAATGTGCATATTGAAAACTTCCGGTTCGTTTTTTTTCTTCCATGAATAATCCTGAGAAATGTTAACTTGTCACAAATGGAGAATTACTGAGCATCACCTCCGTGCATCTTTTGAGGCAGTAGAATAAAATGTGTCCCGTATGTATTCATGCCCTCAAAAAATACCAGCTTGCTATTTTGTTACTGCTTTTAAAACTTTAGTTTCTTAGTTCTTTTCTTTCCCATTCTTTTTTGTCTATCCTCTTTTCTAATTTAAATAATGTATCCTATTTTTCTTTTTTTCCCATTACCCGATCTCTTTTTCCCCCTTCCTATTTTCATTTCCCCACTATGCCATTTTCTTCCCACATTTTCATCATCTCTTCCCCTTCATCTCCATTGTTTCCCATACTTTGTGTTCCTTCTTCGCTTTGGCGGAAGTTCCCACCCATCTCACCACCAGTCATCATTTGCTGGTGCATCATGAAGCTCATAGAATTTTAGGCATGGATGCCTCTTGCCTTTCTCTTGTTCAGACAAGATGTGGTTGAGGTCTTTGAGCACTACTTTATCCTTTCAATACTGTAATATAGATGCACATTTTGGCCTTCCTCTCCTGACTTTTCTATGTCTTGATCACTTTCATTTCCCAGTATATTTCTAAAGTTTATCTTTCTGTAACCCAAATGAAAGCCCTGGTGGGAAAAGGGAAGCAACTGCTGCATCTGTGCACCAGTGTGATAGCAGGGAGTCAACTTGACTTTCACTTCCTATTGAGAAACTTGGTGGGAGGCAGATAGATAAGGGAGGAGTGCCTAGGTATTATTGACAACACTCTTATCACTAAAGACAGATATGTGCAAGGTGGTGGAAAGTTGCAGAAAAGGTGGTCAGCACCTTCTGTTGGCAACTAAATACCACTTGTGCTTTGAGCGCTCGTCCCTGTGCCCACTGGGGAGGGCTGGTGTATGAACCTCAGTTGGTTTTCATCTTGAAAAAAATGTTTTCTGTATCCGCAGAGCATTTATTCCTTCATTCATGCCAAACGTGTTAAAGATGCTGTATTGCCTGCTTCTTGGTTTCTCTTAAGTTTCTTGGCTCAGAAAAGAGCTTCACTAGGTTACTCCAGACTGTGTGATAAGCCTACAGCCATATATGAACATCTTCATTACTTCTTTTCTGCCCCATTCTCCACTTTAAGCTTATTTTGTCTTTTCCCTCCTGCCTTTTTGTTTTTCTATTCCAACTGCCATTACTTTTCAGTGAGGCCAGGCTCCTTTGATTCAAATCACACGACATCTCTATGTGAGATTCTTCTGCTTGCAAAGACCAAACTTCTTCTATAACAATGTGACTTCCTCTGATTGTTCATTCATTAGATGTCTTTCTCCTGGGACACTGTAGAGATACTCTGTGGGTAGACACTGAGCACCTTTATTGTTATGGGGAGTCGCATATCCTGAGAAATGTGCAAGTTTCACATTTTGTCAACTAAGGACTGTGAGGCTAGATTACCGATTTACTTTCTGGTTATATCTAAGGAGGAAACTCCTAACCTTGGAAAAAAATAGATTAATGGAGCAAAGACTTTCCTGGCACAAGAATTCCTCCTGAGGAATGTTATCCTCATTCATGATGGTAGAAAAAAATCCTTCAGTGAATATACTCCCAGACAGTCCGTTTCCGCCTTCTCAAAGCAGTGTAAGAACCAGAGCTGAGCATATTCTTTAGCTCTCCCACCGGCTGCTTTGACCAAGTCTTCTTGAATAACTTCTGAAGTTTGAGTACCGACAAGAAGTCCCTCAAAACAGACGTTTTGAACCCTGAAGACCCTGTGCAACCTTTATACATTGCCGGGTCTGTACAAACTCTTGCTCTCATAGCCAGATCTTTGGATGGCAGCAGCTTTTTTGTATTGTTCCACAGATGTACATATT